TAATGCATTCTGTGGTGCAGCAGAATATCTCAGTGCTGTTTGTTACTTTTCAATTTTGAAGTCATTTTTACACAATTGTGTTTTCTCATTAATGTTGCAGCAGTGTGCTGGTAGTTAGCTCTCACTGGTTTCACTGCCTCCGTTAAACAACATCGATCAAAAAATACCTTCCAGACAAATGGAATTCTTGTGAAGGATGTCCTCTCTTGAAAGCATCAGCATTTCAAGTCTTTTCTTCGTTATAACCACTCAGTTGATCAGCAGCCCCCCCCCCCCTGCCAGCATGGTTAAAACAACTCACTGCTGAGCACACAGTAACTGTAGCTAGTCCATCGCTCATACTCACGCATACCCTCTCCAGACAAACAGCCAAGCACACAGCTCTTATTCTTTGTGTATGATCTGCAGGAGATGCACGAGAAAAAACATTTTATCGAACATCAGGGAAAAAAATAAGTTTCCAAACAAGACGTTGGGTGATCATCTCAAAGCAACACCAGAACCAAATAAAACACCACTAGACCCACTTGGCACGGCCACATGAGTGCTGTAATCCACTCGCCCGACAATCTGATTTTACACAACCCCACAGACGCTATTGCAATGAAACATTCACTGATCAAGTCTGATCAAATGGACTGCAGTGTCAACTGACCGCTGTCTCTGTGTGCGAGTCCATGGAAGGATTACTGAACGGTGCCCGAAGGATCACAGGGCCCCTGGGCCAGAGCCTTTGTTTTGAATGGGTGTTAACATTTAGAAAGTCGGTTAAAAGACTACAAGGAGACACAAAACAACCTCAGACACACAAACATGACTACACACAAAGAGAAGCAAAATGACCACAAAGAGACTTCAAAATGACCAGAGATGTAAAATGACCACAAAAAGACACAGAACCATCACAGAGATGCATAACAACCACAAAATGACTCAAAATAACTCAATTACACCCAGACGTGTCATCTCTAGTCGTTGTGTTTCTGTCAGTTTGGGTGTCTAGCTCCTATAAAGGAGGGTAGAGGGGCCCGTTGTCTCATAATCCATCCATGTGCGACTTAAACCTTGCTGCTGATTGGATTTTGTAGAGAAAGTGAACAAACCAAGAGGTAAGAATGAGTGTTAATCATTCAGATGTTCCACCCTTTCTGACTGGCCTGATTAAAATGGTCACATCACCATGTGTGACATCTCATTTGTAAATCTTCATTTCTGGCTAAAGCATGAGCCAACATTTTATGAGGCATCCTGACAGGAGCCATGAGAGCTCATGTCAAACATCTGCAAACAGCCAGATGTTACATTTTACTCCAAGACTGAAGCATTTCCAGCTCAATGTCTCACTTAACATCAGTCTTATCCAACGCCTTGCATACTGAGGGGGTTTGTACAGTAAGTGGCGTCTGCTTGATGGAAAAAGGGCCAGAACCACTCACTGAGTCACATTACTAATTTAAAACACTGAACCTGGAGGATTGTGCTTCTTTAAAATCAGCAACCACCATTAGAAACAATAACCTATCTGCAGCATGAAAGCACATGAGGATTTACTCAGAGCAGCAGCACATAGTCACTGTAGGAGTCACCAGCACTTCACTTGACAAGACAGTGATGACCTCACTGAGAGCTTCTCAAGTTCCCAGCAGCACTTAGACAATTAAAAGCAAACCCACAAGACAGAACACAAAATATGAGGACAGAGAAAAGCAACTAATACAACTCAAGACTACTATGCTCCGGATTTACTCACATACACCTGATGAATATAAACTTTTAACATTCACCAGACAGTCACATGCTCCACTTACGCTTGAACTCCCTGCGGCAGACATGAGGCCTCCAGGGTCGGTTTCGTATCCAGTTCAGGCGTCGAGGTAGCTCCATGATGCCGGGCAGGTGCCAGCGTGTAAAGGCCACTCACCCATCAAAGAGCAGCACCTCAGTTCTTCTGCCCATCCCCAGGACAGATACCCGCTGCCGAGCATGAGCGGTGCCAAGTACACACCAAGCAGCCTGGACCTTTGCAGGATAATACTTCACTTTGACTACAGCCTGTCCTCCACTCTGTGGGAGAGAGCTGTTACAGTAGCTGTTGCTGTGTCGCTTGGCTCGGCTGCTTTATCTTTTATGCATGAGTCAGTGGAACCCAACTCCCTCGGGTTCTGGGGGAAGGACAGAGTCGGGCCTCTCTCCCCAGGAAAGAACACCTATTGACGGGCAGCATCTGAAGCGCAGAGTGCACACCTTGGTGAAATGCGACGCCTCTGCGCCGAGCCCCCGGGGAGTCAAGGTGGGTGGATGCACAGGAGGTGGGGCTTTGCCAGCTACCTGAGGAGGCTGGAAGGTAGACGGTGAGTCAAAGATGCTGTGGACAGTTTCTGTGTGTACACTGTAACACTGAACACAGAGCAAACACTAGTCTATGAAGTATTTTAATGAAAATCTGCAGTAGACTTTATTATAACTGTGACAGCTTACCATAACCACTCTCACAGCTCTACTAGGCCACACTGAATATTGATGTTTGTTCTTATGACTCTGAACACTAATTTTCTTTAGGCATCATTTCACATTTAATGCTGGGAAAAAAAGCTCACACAGAATGGAGGAGTAAAAGTAAAATCTACACTGAAATGATTATTCTGAAAGACAAACAGGCATTTATGAGGATTTCTCTGTGGTAGTAAGTAATGTGCACTGCATAACTGGAGTTTCAAGAACTTTTCTACTGCATGTTGTTATCTTGTTTGGCAATATCATTGTGTTGCAACAATTCTTAGATTCATTGCTAGAGTCAGAGCAGGAAATCCTACCAATTCACTGACAGAACAATGCTTTTTTCACTTAAAAAAAATCTAATTAACATTATTGAGAATATGTTCTGCATTAATGTGAAGTTGCATAATGGTTCACACAGGTTTTCAGGGGTTAAAAAATTGTATCTATACAAAAATCCTTAAGAGTTCAGTTAATCAATTTTCATCAAAAAAATTCACATTACAAAGCTTAAACAAATGAGCACCTGCTAAAATGCCAAATGATTATTTGATTTTCAAAATAGTTGATTTTCTGTTGATCAGCTAATTGATGAGTTGATCAGTACAGAAACACTGGGAATATAGATCTTCATTTGTTATTTTTTTAAACACAGCTACAGCAGACTAGAGAAGATACCTGCAGTTAAATGAACAGTAAGAGCGTCAAGCTGCAGTTTGGACAGGTTCAAGTGTTGGGAGACCATGACCTCTAGTGGCTGTCAGCTGTCCAGTGCAACCACAGTTCAGTTTAGGAAGAGTGAAGTGGATAAAGTCAAAGTCACTGAAGTGCTTACACCGCACATTCTGTATTTGCCTTTATTCAGATAAAAACATACGCCTCAGTTTGGACGAACAAGACTTCCTGTGCTCAAACACTTGTCTTACCATTTGGTTTATCCAAAATAGAATAGATAAAAACAGTGAACAAAGCACTTAAACACAATTCTACAAATACACAGTACATAGCTTTGTTAGCACACACAACCCAACCAGAACACACAGATTTGGTACCTAATGTAACACAACAAAATATTATACTTCAACATTCAAGTCCCGTGTTTTCTCAGTATATAACAGTTCATAACATGACAGTATATGGAAACTTGAGAGTATTCTTCACTGCGGATATATAGCGCTTTTCTTCTTCACACACACACACACACACACACAACTGACTAGTAAGGTTTAAATGGTGACTTAAACCAAGAGAAAGCAATATCAAACAAATATCTGTGTGCTTTTTTTGGCTGGTGTTGTGGAAGTGCTCATGTCAAGAGACTAAATATGGTTCAAGCTAAAGCCTGATTATTTCCATCTGACCTCAACTACAACATCTGGCTGGTGATGCCACTTTCAGAATTAAATAAAATCAGAGGATGATGACCTGAAGAACTTTTGGCAAACCCTACAGCAATGTGTCAAAATGATTGTGCGTGAGACACTGAAGGCACATACAGTTAATAAGGACTGCAGTACGACAACACCGGTTTGACTTGTTTCTACCTGTAGCGTAACATACTACAGCTATAATTTACTCACCAAAGCACAAAGACACTCTGCTACAGGCTCACTACTCTGTGAGCAGAACGATGGTCCGACTGTCAGCCTGTTTAAGACCTTTGGCTATACTCTGAATAAATGGTCCACATTGGTGATCTATTCAAAAGGCAATATTACATTAAATATCCTACCTGTGATACAAACTCTTAAGACAAGAGTGGTTAAAAAAACAAAACAAAACAATGATAATAAATATCAGCAACAACGTGTGCACATCAGCATGGTTGATCCTGAGGTTTGTATCTACAAACACCCCATTCTGAAGAAAATCGAAACCCACAGGAGCCTTCTTCATGTACATTTGCTTAATCTAGAGACAGTCACAACACTATGTTTAAACCTTTTTGATATGAGTAACACTACAATCCTCTCACTGACATGTGTTTGTAAATGTATGGTAATAGAAAACAAGTGACAAATGACAGTAACACCATAAACAAAAAACACACAAGATGTAGATAGACTCTTGAATGACACTTGGGAAAATCTTGTCGCTTGTCCATGGAAGTAAATATTAGCTACCATTAGGAGGCACCAGCAATTGAATATAACCATGAAGATGCAAACAAAGGATTTGGTTGAAAGAAGGAAACGTTTTGAACAAATTACTTAGGTGGAACAAAAGCAGGATACACACACTGTCAACAGACACATGACAACAGGCTTGAACAAATTATTTCTTTCTCAACGAGCTTAACATAAAAAACCAGTCCATTCATTCTTTAAATTCAGTAATGGATCAGAATAAAGCTTCCTATAAACAAGGTTGAACAAAACAGAAAATGTGCAAAATTGTCGCCATTCACCGTACTCTCTGGACTCACTTTCTGGTTGTCATACCGACTGTATGCCATATGATATATAAACTCTTAATTAAAAGAAAAAGTCAAAGCTGTAATATATATATATATATATATGTGAGCGCCACACACTAGTAAATTACAGATCTGATGTTAATGCAAACCCATCAAAACCATTACAAACTTGGGTTCTGCAATGTTGAGTGACATTTCCGACCTGTGACGAGGGGTCGCAAGCTTCCATTTTAAGAAAGGGTCCCAATTCATTAACGTGAGACAACGCATGTAAGGCATGTAACGGACATTTTTCATGTGTATTGTTTGTAACTACCTCCTGTTTGTGAAGGAATCACCTCATCTGCTGAGTCAACTCTTTCTGGACTGGGTTGTTGTGGTGTCACTCTCTGGGTTTCTGTCTGCTTAGGTGTGTGTGCAAGTTACAGTGTGTGGGCATGTGTGGAGGGAACTGCACAACCGACAAACACTGCATCGTGTCCCACCATGTGAATGTGCATGAGAGTTAATCTGTACAGTGGTATTTGTTGAAGGTTTATGCACAAAATTAATTCTCTCCAAGTAAAATCCTGCTCTGTTATTCATATGGCTCATGTTTGAGAGGAGGAGAAGGTGGTTTCCCCCCTTCCTTTAATCAATCAAGCCTTCCTCATCCAAATCCTGATTGTCTGCAGCTTCCCTCATTCACTCATTCATCATCATCTTCACATCTCTCAATACAGTACTTCAGAGTCCTTTGTTGCTCCGTCATTCGATCTTTTCTGGGTCTATGTTGTCCAGATCAATATCAGGCGAGGCCACACAGCACATGCACAGTTTTTGGGTGCAAAGAGAGATCTTATCTGCAGTGACAGAGGAAAGAAAGGAAGAAAAAAAAAATAAAAAATCAGGGTTGCACTCGACAGATGAAAATACAGTCAACAAATGCTTTTAAGAGATACTGGTGTTAGTTTTAGAACAGACAGTTGATAACACATTAATGGTTTTAGCATAAGGTTAACAGAACCGGGAGGGGGTCTACCTCAACTACAGGGGTTTTACACTGTGCACTATAGAACCCTTTGCAGTATGTAGGGTCTATACAGTAGTACAGTGAACTTTGAAACACTAATCTCAATCCCTCTTTTTTTACATGTGTCTAGTAGCTGGTCTATGTACAATTTAAGACTAGTAAGCTACTTTACTGTACTTATGTTTCAAATAAAAATGCAGTGAGGCCCCCTTTTCTATCCCCTTGGGAATTTTTTGACATCTAAGAAAAATCGACCTCCACCCTCCATAGTCAGAAGTTGAGGGGTTGTTGCCATGTTTTTTTCCATAGATGTCACCTATAAACTGCCTGGTACTAAAATGCTGTTTGTGGTAGAATTATAACCTATAGAAAATCGGACACGTTTTTACCCACGTCTCTGTATAAATAGTTTAAGGTTCATGAATTTTATAATATGCATCTCTAATTAAAAGTGAAATGGTTCTAGTAAAATAAAATACTCCTTAAAAGACTATCAATAAAGCCCCAAAACAAACATCAACACTATGCTGAATAAACCACTGCTAGGACACACAGTACAGCATCATGTGAAACCTCTTACCGATTATTTTTCCGAGGAAGGCTGGTCTGGAGGTGGGTGGCAAGTAGATGAAAAAGTAGTAGACTGGGACACCGGACAGTGCCACAGCAATTCCTACCAGAGAGTTGATGGTGTCGCTGTAGAGGGGCACCACGACCAGGAATATGCTGCACAAGCAGTAAACGATTGGGAAGAACAATGACAGCTGCAGGGAGTGGAGAGAGGAAAGGGGAGGGTGATGACAAGGACAAAATAAGTATAAAAGAAGGGGGCGGAAAGATAGAACAGAATGATGGTGGTAGTAAAAAGGTTGGAGAGAGAAGAGTAGAAGATTAAAAACAATTACATAAACAAATACAAAATTATTATTAGTTTAAACCAGATCCCTCCGGTGAATTAATTGTAGCTCTAATTGCCCTTAAACTGCTCAGCCAGTACGCAGTCCAATCACGTTTATGGTTAATGAAAGAATAAAATTAACAGTTATCGGATTCAAACCATCACAGACTCTTAAACATCGTCATAACTAAAGCCAGTGCTAAGTGTGGTCAGGCCTACAATGGAGGTATGTTGATGGGTAAACAAATGTAAATAAAGGTAAAAATGCTTAGAAGAGCATAGCCACACTTTATCTGCAGAACTCTGGGTCTCAGTGACTTCGGCTCCAAAGAATTAGTGATCAATTCTGAGCTCTGAGATTGATTACCTGCCGTCAAGAACTGGTTTCAGTTTATTACGTTCTATGACAGTGAACATTTAGTCTGCTTTTTTTTGGTCAGAGTTATGACATGGTCATGGGAATGTTTTGAAAATGACTGGATTCACTGGGCATCATAATAAAGTGTTTGTGTTTATATTTGATGTAGTTTTGTTTAAGTTTTCTTGCACTTTATCACAGTTAAAGAAGAGAAAACAGAGCGACTCACTGGACAGTGGTAAAAAAAAAAAAAAAAAAAAAAAAAAAAAAAAAAAGGGACACTGAAAACCCCTTAAAAAAAAAAAAAAAGGGGGATCCATGGGAAAGGGGAAAAAAAAAAAAAAAAAAAAAAAAACGAATGAAAGTGACACTGAAAACTCCTTATACAAAGATGACCAAACTTGTTAGGAAAAAAAAAAACTGACAATTATATAATTTGGATATGTTGCATAATGATGCCACATGCTCAGCAAACCACACTTGGTATTTCTACCTACACAACCTTTGAATGTGACTGTCAGCTGTCAAGATGTGCAAGTTTCTCACAGACACATGAGGCACAACAATGATGAATGTCAAAACAAAGGGTCTGCCTGGAAGGCAGTGCCACTGTTGTTCTTTAAAATGCAAGTCAGCACTCCTATTGCATTAGTTTTGCTACCTTAACAGGTCGATGCAGATCAGGAGCTTTGAAGCGAAGGTAGATCTGGCTGGCTATAGACAAGCCGATAAACAACCAGTAGTTAAAACTGAAGTAGTTGATCAATTGGAAAACGTCAGGCACCGACAGGTAGAACAGAGACATGGCGCCCTGGGAAGAGAAGACCAGACACACACAAAAGAAAAAAAACATTGTTTGAGTTTGGTAATAAACACCCATCAATGACACAGGGATCCAGTGGTGACCAAACCGACTAAAATATGTGATACTAACATTGAAAAGCAGGGCAGGGATTGGAGTGAAACGCTTAATGTGGATCATGCACAGGACATTAGGTAGTTGGCCTTCTCTGGAACCAACAAAAAACAACCTGTAGGAGAAAACAAATGGTGGAAGGGTGTAAACAGATCATCATGTTGCTGACAGGTTTTCAAACATTTTAACATTCAAAACATTACTGCTAATCTGCGATTAGGGAAAAGATAAAATTGGTCAGAATAGTTACAGGTGTGTTTACGGACCTGGAGGCAGCGATGATGGAGGAGTTGAGGCCTCCGTAGCAGGAAATAGCCACAGACAGAGGGATCAGCCAGCGAGCCCAGCCCAGCGTTTGATCTGCAAATGTCTGTAGAGACGTCAAACAAACCGTTTACCGCTCACTTCAATTACAGCATTAGAAAAGTACTGATTACACAACATCCTGATGATACATATTTAAATCTGCAAAACACACTTCTAATTTTAAGTGCATACTGACTACTGATACTGTGTGCCTATTAAAAAGATATTTTAACCCATCTGACTAACTTGCTGATATCAGTATATAAACATTCCTAAGTGTTCCCTGCCATTTGCCTTGTGATGTAATATTTCTGACTATAAAGGTCAGTGTAGCTCCTGGACTAACATTTGCCTTCCTTTTTAATAACCTTTTTCTTCTGCTAGCAATGGTAGCCTCTGCTTTTAATCTTCGACAGTTCTAAACTGTAGGAAATGTAAATAAAGCCAACTTAGCAACGAAAAGACTCTAGTAGAGCAGGCCAGAATGATTGGTCTGCATATATGTAAGAATATGGGATTCATGTGATGAAAAACCTCATTTTTTTAAGAGAAAAAAAAGTAACTTTGGGAACTCTATGTCTTTGGCAGAGACAAAGATGCTGTGAAGCAGCCAAGTATTATACATAATACATGTAAGATTACATAAGCTCATTCTTTGACAAGTGCTCTCAGGTCTACGCACGACAAAGCAGTCTGAACTGGACTCACTGGGTGGGTGAACAGAGTCAGTGCCTAAAGCTCAACTGATTATCACACATTTAAATAAAAAAATTAAAGCTGTTACACACTTGTGAATTAGACCATATATATCCCTGAAAACTCAAGACAGCTTGATGAATACGCTTCTTAGTCAGGATTCTTAGTAAGAGTGTACTTTAAAACGTCTGCGCCAAACAGGGTTTAAGTTGAAATAATATCAGCTTTCAGTTCAGTGCTGAGGTGTAAAGTCGAATCAATACACGATGCCCAAAGAAGCAGGTTTGACATCATCGTTCTCAAATCTAACAACTCCAAATCATGGTGACATAAAAATATTTGCTGTAACCCTGGGCTTACGTGCAATAGAGCACAGAGCCGATGGCTTGTTGACAGTCAGAACATTAATGAACCATTAGACTGACTACTAGAACAAAAAGATTATCAAATACCACTGACAACAAGCCTGAGTGCAACTCTTCCTCTGCCAGTGCACTAATCATATAACAACTTCCCGACGTTCCTGTGTGGGGCGCTAACCTCTTTAGCTAAACGAGGTTCCTGTCATCATCTCGACTCCTACAGTCACAGATAACCAGAACGAAGTACTGAATCAGACACTAGGGCCATCGGCTGCCTGCCAGACTGACAGAGATGACAGCAGAAGACAGGAAGGAAAGATCAAAACCTGCTGCCCCTGTGAGGCTGAGCAGATGCTGTCAATTTGGATAAGTCCTGTGACGTACTAATAGGCTTTATGGGCAGATATTAGTACTGTATGCTCATGGTCAGACTGCTGAGTGGGTTACTGCTTATACACAGCCTCCTTCGTGCACAAGAAGACTTGCACTAAGTTAATGATCTTCAGACACTCACCACGGCAACAGCTTCACTGTTGAGCACTTTATCTGCATCCATGACAACGTAATAAGCTATGTTGGTCAAGATGTAGATCACTGTGACAATAGGCATGGAAATAGCGATGGATAAGGGCAGATTCCTAGAAAGGAAAATGAGAAATGTGGTTTAAATTCACTTGAAGCACTCTGTGTAGCTGTCACGCACACAGTTTCTACTGAGTGAGATGAAGACTTGATGACTTGTGAAATTCACAAGTAAGATTACTGAGTTTTAAGATTTAAGTAATTATAGATTTACAGCAGGGAAAGCTATGTAGTTAAGCAAAAGAAAAACCATCAGGAATGAAAAACAAGCCTGCTTATTGTGAAATCTCTCTGAAATGTCACACTGTGTACCTCTCTGGGTTCTTGATCTCCTCTGTGATAAAGTTGAGCGTGTCCCAGCCTGAGTAGGAGTACAGTGCTGAATAAAGGGCCAAGGCCATGTCACCAGGGTCTAGCTTGGACCCTTTGAATGAGTCCTCGAAATTCTGGTCAAAACCTACACCAACAAAAGGTTGATACATTAACATAGGAAGCAGTGTTCAACTTTTCGCTTTCATCAAACCTGACAGTCGCCTACCCACGTGTTTTTAAAACTCAAGTGACCTTTCCTGCATTTCATAGAGTTTCCTGCCAATACCTGCCAGATATTCAGTGATGAACAAGGACAAAAACATATGTGCCAATAAAAAAAAAAGAATTTCAATACAGTTGTTTATCAATACATTAATGTATGAAATGTATTAAAACAATGATAGTTAATACATTATATATGGATAGTGTTTTAAGCCAGCTGATCCAATATCAAATTTTTACCTATTGGCTGATCAATAAAAAGCATGTAATCCCTCCAAGCTGCATCAGAATTGGATTGGAGGTGTAGCAGTTATAGACAAACATTTGAAATATTTACCTTTGCACCGTTTAAAACAAGCTGATATTGGCCGATTGGGGCACTGCGGCAGACTGCCATTTTTAGCATTCTATTAAATCATTCAGTGAAACTGATTCAGTCCTAAATAGTGCAGTAGTGCTTTATCCCTTCAATTCCTCTGCAAAGTCAGAGCAGCAGTGACCGACAGACAGAGTTCGTTTTACATCCTACCTTGTGCCAGCTTAACCAAGCCAGTAATGATGATGACGATGAGAGCCATGACCTTTGCTACAGTGGAGATGACCTGAAGAATAGCACCCCATTTCACTTTCATGCAGTTCACACAAGTCAACAGACCTGACAGAGAGAAAGGGTGACAAAACAACAGTTAACCTCACATTTTAATCCCTGCTTCTCTGGTGAACTGGCTTTCATTGGTTAAGAACTTCTGAAGTACATTTTCATACTTTATTTAACTTATGCATCATGGATTGTAATTCATTTCTGTCATCAACTCAATAAAAAGAGGACTTGAAAATACAAAGATGTACTGAAACAGTAGAAATGGGATATGAGTGTGAATACTGATAAGTACAGTAAGAGGACAAGGGTAAATCTGTGTCAAAATTAGATAAAGGTTTTTGCAGCACTGTCTCAGACTCTGTTCATACCATGTCTTTCAGGAATGGAGCCAAAAACCAAGGCTTGCAAAATATTTTATTCAAATCCTGTGTTTTCATCTTTTTTCCAGCCCTTGATATTCTTTCATTTTTATAGGCTCAAAAATGCCTTATCTGGGAAGCCATGTTTGAACATTCATATCTTGTATTGTTCCTAGCCTCTCTAACTTTGCACGATGGAAGTCTAAAATATTTTCAGTAAGTTCGTTGGAATAGAGGGTATTTGAGATGGGAATTGTGTCTCCGGTAAGGTCGTGGATATTGAAAACAAGTGAAATATTTTGATAAAACCGCTGGTATAAGGAGGAATAAGTGGTATCCTAAATGGCTGCCTCCAGCTCCAGTGGGAGTATCTAAATGCGTTTCCAAAGGTTGGATGTGTTCATACATGTAATTTTACAGTCTGCATGTTAGAAAGTTATATATGGAAACTGTACCGATATGCATGTTGAAACATGTCCACAGTGAAACCATCAGTATATGTCCTCACACGATATCTAGAAAACACCAAGCATGTACCCAATTCAGGCCTGTTGTTAAAGGTTATATGGTTGAAGGATAATAGTTTTTATCACATGTAATTTCTAGTACATAATTTGCAACATTGCACATAATTTCCAATAAAGTTATATGACTTATTTATTATGTTTAAATATGGAATATGAAATTTACCACTCCATTGAATATATCATCTATGACAGTTAATACTTTTTGTTATAATGAGGCCATGATAATAAAGAATATAGCTAGCATTAATGACTTGTAGTAAAATGAACCTGCAGATAACAGGTTGGGACATAAACCGAGATAATAAGAGATAAGACCCTAGTTCCTCATTATGGATGTTTTTTCGAAGAGGTAAAACAATGCCTTTAACTATGTGTATTATAATATGCAAGGACTTTGGCACCTTGTACACTAAATGATTATACATTAAGCTATTTCGATGTATATTTTCATGTTGCTTCTAGCTACCCCACCACATTTTGGTCCTATGTAAATGACTGAAATATACTACCACGCATCTTTTTATTCTTAATGTCTAAATGTCCATTATAGGAGGAGACCTCAAATGCTGGCACAAAAAATGCCTCCAATATCACTCTCCTTTAGGAATGTTGCACTTTTTCCCAAAAACTATGGCCTTATCAAAAATCCGTAGTACAAACTTTTAATGGTTCAGTCGTACTGAAACCATGTTTATCTTCCAGTCTACAAAGTCTGTTGAGGCTAGGAATAATACCTTAAGATATAAATGCCCAAAACTGTTGATCTGCTGACAGCTGATTCTGAGGCCCTATTCAGTCACCCACTTCCTTTGCTACAGACTTGGGACACAAGCGTAGATCATATCTAAACATACCCAACAGGTTTTAGGTTGAGAAGCTGTATCACATTGCTGCTATTCTTAAAAGCCCTTTATCAAGTGGCATCACAAAGCCTTAAGGCTGTAATATACTAAGCACAGTAGTCTTAAGGTGGAATTTAGAGGGAATCAACAGGTATAACGTGTAGTTACACATTTATTCTTCAAAGTGCAATGTAAACAAACACTAGATTAAGCAGCTATGTTTGGAGAAGTCCCTAAGGCTCACCACATAAAAGTGGGTCATCTAATTAAATGCATCCTGAAAGGTTCAACGTGCACCAGTAGTGTTGCTAACAATAACTACAGAGACCATTTCAACACAGTGTTTCCTGAAAACACACGAGGCTCAGTTTTGTGAGAGCTTCTGCTACACTGTTCCTCATACTCTCAACGATCTGCAATAGACTTTGCAGGTGTTCCATGAGGTTAACAGGAACTAACAAAGGCTAGGGGAAGACGTCGTCGTAAATCAAACTGTCGCTGGAGATATGCAATGTGGTGCTAAGTGAAGGGTGCAAAACAAAAAGCAATTTAGTAATCCACAGCATTTAGAGCCTGACAGAGAATAAATCAATGGGGAATGACTATTTCATCTGAAGACAAAATCTATACTGTTTTGGCATTTGCACCACTGTTCAGTAAACATGAACCTATGACAGTCCATGGCATAATTAAGCAAACAGACAAATTAAGACATTTACGGTAAATGTTTGGATTTAAAAAAGGGACAATATGTAAATCAAGATAGCACTAGCATTAAATTCAAAAGCAAACCACGCCACTCCTTCCACCCCTCCCGCTCCCTGCTCTGCCATGCCCTGCCCATCACTGACCCGACTTTATATTTTTGTCTGAACATCACTGTGTTGCTAATGCATATGCAATCGTGTCCAAACCTTCTGGCCACAACAGCTCCTCAGTGACATACCACTATCTATGGATACTGCACAAAACACTATCCGCTACACCTGTCAAACATAAATACACCAACACACACACACCTTCACACCCAAAATCACACTTGCTTCAATTATTCATTAAAAAAGTACAAAAGTTCAAAACACAGATGAGGAAATAACGGAGGTTAACCAAAAGCCTGTATGTCTGTATACAACAGCTTAAATAGAGCATGTTAAGTGTGTTTAGTATAGGTAGAGCCTTACATATGATGGCGGCAGCGATGAGACGGACGGCGTTGTATGGGGCTGAACAGGTGGGGTAGAAAGGCTGGACCAGGTAGTTGGAGAAGGTCAGGGCTATCACTGCCTGACAGGCTGGCTCTACTATCAACAATGATGTCCAAAGTCTACAGAGGTATTAATACAAATGTATTATTTCAAGGCATGAATGTAACATTTAACTACATTTCTGTAAAATAACAATGAATCATGCCGACCTTGACACTTCAAACATGCATCTTTATGTCAAAGGTTGACAAGATAAGGTCCAGACTGTGCTTCATGTTTGGTAGAGTACTGAGTTTCTATTGTGTGTTGTTTGCAAGATAATGTGTAAATAGAAAGCATCCGCAGACAGAAATAGTAAAACAGCTATATACCGAATAAAAGCCAAGAAGCCTCCGAAGGCCTCCAGGATGTAGGCGTAGGAAGCTCCTGATTTACGGATGGTGGTTCCCAGCTCAGCATAGCATAACGCTCCAAACACAGAAAATATCCCTCCAATGGCCCACACTACCAGGGACAGGCCAAATGAGCCTGTATACATAAGAACCCCCTGCAGGATAACAAATGAGAGTATACAGTAGCATTTATAACATATTGTATGTACAAGAAACTATCAAATGACAAAAAAAAAAAAAAAAAAAAAAAAAAAAACAGCAAAATGCATTAGTATTTAAATCACACATCAGTATTAGGTGCAAACTTGTTTGGTGCAATTCAAAACAACTCTTGCGTGTTTGCTCCAGTGAAAGCTGAAACATGAACTGTGCAGACCAAACAATGGCACCAAGAATAGCAGTCTAACACAATGACAGGTTGAAAATGTGACCAACCCAAGTGTGAACACTAAATGAGACCACAACACCTGTAAAACAAACCCTTAACATTACTCAATAAAAACTTATTTTAGATATAATCATGTCTGAATAACAGCAGATTTTTTACAATCAAAACCAAAAAAGAAACAAATCATCATCATTTTGTGGATCTAGAGAGAAATTCACACTAGGACAAAAAAAAATTCTCTGGCTTAACAAAGCAGAGCCTCCTACCTTAGGTGAGACGAAGATGCCAGAGCCGATCATATTTCCAACGATAAGACAGACCCCATGGAGGAGGGAAATCTCCTGCTTCAGGCGCACACCGCTGCCCTGAGACGCTGAGTCTACCTCAGCAACCATTGTGACGGATTTACAGACTTCGCCTCAGCTTAGAGGAAGGTAACAGGACAGTGACAGCGAAGGGATAAAGAGGACAGACTGACTCCTGGCAGCACCAGAAACTGAGACGGGGTGAAAGAGTAGAATGATTAAATACTGGGCAAGATGAACGGAGAGGTGTGGACCAAGCAAAAGAGAAAAGGAGGTGGGAGGGTCACTGAAGGACTAGGACTCTGGCTGTCTCAAACATCCATTGTTGAATCCGAGGAGTACGTCTCTGCTGGAATAATCTGTAACAAAAGGCAAGGACACACAGTCTCACAGAAGTGCTTTACACATCTCAGTGGTCCAAGTTCGAGGAAGTGATCCTGATTCAGAACGTCATCGGTATACACCCTTATGTCACCTAATAGAGACCTCAAATAAGGAAATTAATGAGTGAGTGAGTGGATGGATTAAATCAATGCCTTTCTGGATTTATGTGGTGCATTGTATTTACGAAGCAGTAAGCAACGGCACAAGCTGCTACAGCAACCACAAGTCTAATAGAAAATTGCCACTTCGACAACCACAGACACCAAATTGAAAAAAATGCAAAAATGTATTCAACCATTACTGATTACACAGTCACAACTTTGTCTTCTACTTAATTCATCTGATCAGTTGAGATATTGTCTGTGTTCAAAACGCCTAATGCAATGCATTAAGCACAGTGGATCTGATTCACAGCTTAACTAGCTGAGGAGTCAGAGGAGTTTATTTGAGCACAGTGTGAGCACTCTCTGCAGACCAGGGCAGCCAACCAGCAGCTGAGTGTTCAGGCTAACTACATTTTCTGTGAACTGACATTTTTTTCAGTTTGCATACTATGTTGTTATTAGAATAGTTGTCATTACAGTTATCATTACTATCATCAATTAAGCTACTGTATCTTTGAGTCCTGTACCTTCACAAATCCTGATATTGACAACCTCAAATAATAAATCAGATAATTTTCTACTATAGAAAAATTATTGGAAGAAAACTGTTAAGGGTTTATGATGATCACTATATATATTCCATACTGTCTATCAAAGGGGCACAGCGGGCATAGCATCCATTTTACCATTTTCTTAACCAAAGTAAACCATTTATTCACAAGACATATCCTTTCACCAGTTTTATTTAAAGCTTCTGTAATGATTAAGAGCTTGTGGTGATGTCACAGGTGAGTTGACAGAAAATTTCTAGAATATTTTCTACAGTATGTGGCTTTTGTTTGAAGTAGTTCAATGGATTCAGGCGTCAGCGCCCACACCCCAACACTACCCTCTCACATTTTCAGGTGCTGAGTGTTTCATATACAATGACTTCTAGAAACACACACTCAAATTCAAAGTGTACACAAGATGTATCTGTGAGCTCAAATTCAAAATGATGATCTCTGGTGAATACAATTAAGAGAGATGAGATTAAGCTGCACATACTGTATGAACACACATCTTTGCTTCTAGTATCTTCAGCACCAAGGTTTTGCTGACATGACTCAGTGAGCAGATTGTATTCAGTGGTAAGAAAAAGTGAAGCCTTTGGATTTACCTTCATAAATGTATGCATAAATCTGTCTTACAATATTCTCAGATCTTCATCTTAAGCTACAATAATGAACAAACAAACTATTTTAACTGATAACATGCAAATCATTGTATTGTTCCTTATCCACAGGGAATACATCATTCAAACATTGACAGTGCAGGTTGGATAAAGCATTTAAATCCCTTCACTGATGACAGCAACAAATGCTAATTGGAGTTATCAAACCTGAAAACGAATCAATGAAACCAAATTGGAGGTGCAATTTTCAGTTTGTTATTCACAAGACGCACCTGCTGATGTGAACCATGCCTTGCGAAAAAGATATCTCAGAAGACTTATGACGAAGAATTGTCAATTTGCAAAAAGCAGGAAAAGGTTACAAAGTCATCTCAAAGAGTTTAGATATTGATCAGTCCACAGTGAAACAAACAGTATATAAATGGAGAGGATTTCATTGCATTGCTACTCTCCCAAAAAGACCGCTTTTTGGGAGATAAAGGCTGAAAAAGACGAACCATGGTACATGGTATGCTTTGCTTGCCAAAGAGCACCTCCTTGACACTCCACGATGCCACAGGGAAAATGACTGACACTGCATACCAACATGAAAACATCATCCCAGGCGTGAAGCACGGTGGAGGGAGAATCATGATTTGGGGCTTTGCTGCCTCTTGGCTTGGACAGCTCTACATCATAGAGTGGAAAATGAATTCCCAAGTTTATCAAGGTATCATACAGGATAATGTCACAGCCTTCAGCAGGCTCTCCACCTGCTGAAGCTCAGTTTTAGTCAGGTGATGCAGCAGGAGAATGACCCTGGACATCAAAGTAAATCTACAGATTGACTTCAAACTCTCAAACTCCAACATCTGCCTTTAGGAGTAGCCCAGACTTTAAAGCAATAGAGAGGCCGTGAAAGGATCTGAAGAGAGCTGCTCACACCAGACATCCTAAGAATATGGTTGATATGAAGCAGCTCTGTAAGGAAGAATTCCTCCTGAACATCTGATCTCTTTTTTTTCCCCAGCAGCAACAGTAGTGTTTAATGGTTGTGTTGAATAAAGACACAAAAGACTTTAACTGTTTGTTAGAAATTAACTTAAGCATACTTGCCAACACTTGTTACTTAGATGGAAATCAGATCACATTTCATGACCAATTCCAGGAAAGACGGGGGACTGCAAATTTAATTGTATACAAAACATGACTGCAATTTTGTCTACTACAGTTAATACACTTGAATAGCTGCAACACTGACACTGTGGCATTAAATCCAGTACTTCCAATTCAGTAGTAACCAGTAGCCACAGAAATCTTTGCCCACACTGCTTTCCAAACAAACACATCACATTCTCTGCTGTTGCAAAGCTCATTTTGTGCTCCACTTCTTAAGGAGAATTATAATTGTCAAATGATCATATATCATTCACAATTTTTCTTAAGTGTTAGATGATGATTTAAAAAAAATTGATTGACCTTTATTGACATTTGACTGGAAAATTTGCTGTCAGATCTGGGGTGACCATAAGCAGTTGTGCTCACAGTTATCAACAATTTTACCTTAAAATGGTCACAGTTGCACAATTTTCCTGTATTCATATAAATATGCACATGTACAATAGTCAGTGGACAGATTAATTTAAGTTAAAATAAAATTAGAAAAAAACAAACATTTTCACTCTATTGCACTGTAAAAGAAAATATTCAACAACTATAAGAAATTTGATTCTAATTTACTTTTTTTATCAAGTTAAAAAGACCCAGTAACCGCCTCAAAACGCCTAAGCTTGACTGCTTTTCACTTTACCTTTGTTACTTTTTATATGCACAGACTACACTAACAGATCTGTTTATTATAGGCATACATTTCTTTAGCAGTAGGAGTGGTCTTGTGAGGGACAAGCGCCATGTGTCCTATTACTAGACCAATGAAATTAGGCTAGCATCTGTCTGCATGCTTCAGCCAATATGGCTGCTGCAGTTGTGTCCCTTTTCACAAACTTAAACAGACATCTGTCTGAGTGTGTGAGTACATGATTGTAATCTACACAATCACAACTACTTTTCCTGTTTATTTTTCCCACCTTCATAAGGAACAGAAACAGATGGATAAGTTCATTAAACTAACTAACTTTACTGTTAACATGACAGCTCATCACACATAAAGAAACAACTTCCTCTCACATGTCAGACCCGCGTCTTTACACTTCAAAAGCGGATCACACTGAGGTCTAAGCACAGACATTATGGGGACGTGAGACGTGGTAAGAACTGCCTTGGGACCACATTGTGTCTCAACGATAACCAAACGCGTCCATGTGACTGAAAACTTTCACTTAGCATCAATTCATATAGTTGTGTCACCATTACTACTGTGTGACTTTACAGTAACCTGAACAATCACTCCAGTTACTCCAGCTCTAATTCATCAAATCAGCGCGTGCTGTTAATGATTAGCGCCTGCGGGATTGATAGCCTTGTTAGCACTGGCCTGATACAGAATCATAAAAGGGTTGGAGGATCGATTTAACCGCGTCGCGTCTTTTTTGACTATGGTGTCACTACATTAACATCCATTCACTAGCTAACATTGCTATCCATCTAAACAGTGTCCATCTTGAAGCTCCGAAAAGTGGCATTAGCTCTCAGAGCTAGCGTAGGCAACTGACACAACATACATGATGCTGCGGATACACATGCTAATGTTAGTATGTGACTGGCATGTGGTAAACGTTAGTAAACGATTCGACTACATGTCATTTAACAGCCCCCGACAGACTTAAAAGTGTGAGAGCTGTGTTAAAAAGCACAATATAACAGACACTAGTTACCTTTGTTGCGTGTTCCTTTTTCCAGTGAAGAAAGCTGCAACATGTGCCGTGCTTCTGATGTCTGTGACTAACTTGAGCTAGCATTAGTCCACAAGCTGCAGTCAACATCTGCAGCTACTAGCTCCTCCTCATCCTCAACCCCCAAAGGATGGTTGACACAATCCACTGCCAGACTGAGGACCATTAGAACAAGTTGTGCATAAACACGGATGTTTACCCCCAGTACTTCATCTATAAGCGATGACAGCTACAGTTACATCATCTGAAGGTAGAGCAAAGGTGCGCACACATATTAACGGCATTACCAGTGGGCCGCGGATTAATTTACCTTTGAGAGGTGATGCGGTCACACAGGTGATACTGTGATATGGCAACGATCCGCGAGCCAGCCAATGAGACGTGAGAAACGGATGTAGCAGTTTGTTATTAGTAACATATTAATGCTTACATTAAATTAGCTCCTGTTTTTATGTGAAGAACTTTGTAATTTGTTTTTGAAAAGAGTCATACATGTAAATACAGTTTTTCCCCCTTGCAACTCTTTCACCTTAAATTATCTTAAATGACCTACTTCAGTTCTATTTGAATCTGCAGCATTATTACAAACCACAACTAAAAGCTATGTCATGGTTAATCAATGACTATTCATAAGATCTCTAGCCATGCTCCTGACATCTGTGTAAAGTTTTAAATAAACAGAAGCAACGTAACTGCTTTGTTATCTATGCAAACAAAGGATGTTTGATAAGGAGCATGTGGCATGAGTTGGAGTGGACTAGTGTAGTACTTTGTGTTGCTTACTCAGTCCAACAGTTGGAAATCATGCATGGATTCAGTTGTTAAAGTAAGTTGTAAGATGTTAAAACTGGCAAGTTGTTAAAATAGGCTGAAAGCTGGTGAAGTGAATTGAACAAGACTATATGTTGTAAAACAGTTTCTCTGAAGCCATACTGTACATTCCTCTAGTTCATATGGGTTGAGATTTGGCGCCATCTAGTGATTGTTCCTTTCATGATTCCACCCATTTATTTGGTATGGGGGCTATGATTTGACCATCAGTATTTTCTGCATTTAGGAGGTGAGACCCGTAATAATTCGACCCGTGGACTGTGTGGATGGATCTTATAGGAGGCTTTAGGATTTAGGGGTCATCACATGGACTATATAAAGACTGGGCAACTGGTTATACTGCTTCAGCCGGATTCTTCGTAATGGCATCATTTTACGTGACTAGAAAGAACTATCAAAACTGAATGTTAAAAAATATATATTAATAATAATAGTAAAGTATCCTAAATCGAAATGTTATCCTTTCAAGAATTCTTCCTCTTTCAGCACCATGGACAGTTTCTTTACCTGGCCATCACCAGAGAAACAAAGAGGGAAACACCCACCATGTTAGCCTTCAAAGCAGAGCCTGAACTCTCCAGTAAAAGGGGACATTGGATTTGTCAGGGCTTTTGCTAGGAGAGGCGCGTCAAGGGACTATGGTACCCAGTATAATCTAAGAGGCACATAAACGCTCATTACCGAGCCAGTGTCAAGCCAATCAGCGCGTAAGTTAAGACTTCCTCTCGTTAACTTCAAAATAAAGCATTTTAAACGATGGTGCACTAGTGTAGGCCTAGTGCTTGGGTGTGTTTTAGAGAATAACATTATTGGATGACATTATTTATCAAAACTAAGTAAACCTTCATTTAAATAGAATATGTCAAAGAGAATGTTACAAAGTGCTTTACTGTAAAACCAAGGACCATGATAATCAAACAAATAAATTACAATCAGTGAGGAGCAGCCATTGGATTAGTGGTTTGAGAAGGAGTTTAAATCACAGGGCACTGATTTAGCCTCTTTTCCCACTGCAAGATCCTTGAAGTATCTTGAAGAAAGCCACCTTAATTCAACATAAGGCAACCTCAAAAACCCTAAAGTTGTGCGTTTACCGTATCCTATTCTTCAACCAGACTTCCCCTATACTAGTGTTGAAGTAGGCTACTTGAGTCCAGAGCTCGGACTTGAGTCCAACTCGAGTCCTGATTTTTGGTGACTTGGACTTGAACTCTGACACTGGGGACTTAAGACTCGACTTGGACTTGAGGTTTAGTGACTTCACAACAAAACTGCTCTGTTAATCGATTAAATGTTTGATCAATAAAATGTCAAAAATCTATATTGTAATTATCACATCTCAGGGTTATGTAGCCTATTCATAAAGTTGTAGTTTCATCCAACCAACCATCTAAAACCCAAAGTGACTAATTTTGCCATTGGTTTGGCATTTTTGCTTAAAAAATTACTAAAGCAATCAATTATCAAAATGACTGCAGATCAATTTTCAGTCATCTAATCAACTAACGGTTACAGCTCTACATCATATTAAAGTAGGTAATTATGCTGTTACCTACATTTAACTGTGTCACTGCACGTCCTCATGATGGCATGTTTATGCTTTTATTCTGAAAGCTATGTCTGCAGACTTCCGCTCTTGTTCTAGTTATTTCCCGCAGACTTCACGCAGCTCATTCCAGACCACCAGGCGCACCAGCAGCCCCAGTCTCTGCTGACTCAGTGCCTTACCAGCAGTCCCTCCACCCGAGATACAGCATCCAGAAACCGACGCACACTCCTCCGGTCAACCCGCCCCGGCACCACCGTACAGACATGGCTAAGACCGCAATCGGTGAGTTTTGCACTTGATATTGTGTGTTTTTTGTGTGTTTTTTTCTGAGATAGCGGCTTCGCAGGTTTGAGGATGCTGAGAGGCTGTGGCGACACCCATGGCACAAAAGGATGCAGGGTTGCTGAGAGGGAGCGGCCAAACTCCTTTGCAAGTCACTTCGAAAAAAATGAAGTTTTGCAAAAATGAAGCAGCATTTTCCTCTTCAATCTCATAAAAAAGAGTTTATTTTCCTACGTACAAATGAGTGCTGATCGGAATGAGGTAGTTTAGGATTCAGTTTGCCATTATGAGTGACGCATATTTTTTTAAATCCACTTTAAAGCCAGCGAATTAAATAGAATGAATCCATATCAACACATGAAAGGCGATGTTTTCCCCCCTCACAGCAGCATTTTGTCGATGCCTGCCTGCCGCACCTGCCCCTCACAGCCTGACTCAGAGCCGTGCAGCATAATGCAGCGCCAGCGACCCCACCCAACATCTCCGCTCCCCTTCAAAGCCAGCCAGCCGCTCTCCAGGGTGGGAGATATCTCACCGTGACAAATCTCCTCATCAAAACTGGGCCATCTTATGTAGCTGTTCTGTAAAAGCCAATTGAACTGATTTTTGTGGGTGACCGCTAAAGGCATGGATGAGAGAGAAAGAGAGGAAGAGGGGGAAGAGAGAGAGAGAGAGAGAGAGAGAGAAAAAAAACAGAGCATCCTTATCCAGAATTGCTTTGCAGTCGAGGGAAGAATTTATGACCGGCGATGAAAATGAATGTCGTCTCAGGAATATCAGCCTCCAATCCTGTTAGGACGGTTATTGACTGTAAATGTGGCCTATTATGTTCAATAACTGCATTATTATCAGGCCACAATTGGGGGTTTACAGCATTTGGTCGAAATATATGGAGAAATAAAATGAGATTGCATGTTATGGCAGATGGAAGGCCTTGTATTTTTTGTCAGCCCATGAATTTCCATATCAAGGCACGAACTGTGCAGGCCTATAAACACTAGCTGTGACCTGCAGGCTTTATGAAAAAGAAGCCAAAAGGCTAACCATATAGGAAAGTGTGTTTGTTTTAAGGGGTGTAGTGTCCAGTCGAGGGGATAGTCTGTTTGTTTTCTGGTTGACTGGGCACTTGATGGGTGGAGGGGCACGCAGACAGACAGCAGTAAGGATAAGGGTAAGGCATGGTGTCTGGACACCGGCATCTAAACCCTGACTGTTATATTTATTCCCCTCTCCTCCTCCTCCTCCTCCTCATTCCTCCTCCTCCTCCTCCTCCTCCTCCTCCATGATTTGAGCTGTGGACAGGCAGAATGGGATGGGCAGGAGCAGACACTCAGGGAGAAAGCAGTCATCATGCCAGTCAGCACTCAGCAGGTCGTTGAGTTCATTCAGGTTCCGTGCATTTTATTTACACAAACGATAGCGCACTTGATATTTTAGAAACATCGTCAATCAATTTAATTCTACTTCTACTCCTGAGATGGACAAGCAAAAATACCTCAGGATTCATGGGTAAATGAACATTTACTGCTGTGTTTATGGACTATAAGGCAGAATAAATACCATTGTGTATATGGTTATTTGTGAGTTTTTCTTTTCATTCTTTTTGGGGAGATTCGAGGATAGTATTAAATACAGACGTCCTAAGGGCTCTGCGCTACAAAATGGATCAGCTATTCCCCCAAACAAACTAGTCCTCAGAACCACTCCCGTGTGCATTAAGACCTCTGAGCACTTTTCCTGATCCTTATCATGCAGTCTTGTCATATCCAATTAGGTGTGGTCATTCAGCTGGTGCCCTAAAATCAATTCCTTTGTGCACAGAAACAGAAGCTACTTGGACAATAATACCATATATTAAAAGCAAATAGTCATAGTCCAAATCCAGCTATATTTCTCATCTTAACATCTCTATCACTATTGTCATTATGGGCCATATGCGTAAAGCTCGAAAGTCTCATAATTCATCCTGATTTATTACCGAGTTCCATTGATCAATGCAGCACACCCTCATTACTGGTTCAGATGACTGTTGCTCTTAAAGAGGCTGAGAGGAAGAGGTGACATGAATCCAGCAGTGATGGTAACGCCATATGCTCATAGTCTGTTTGTCATGAGTGAAAATCAACATCTGGGTAAGACAGACATTTCAGCATCCTAGTTTGGCAAATTTGGGTTATTTTATACATTTCAGACTGTGACCTGTTCGCCTTAGATATTTGGCCGGAACATATTTGCGCTTTTAATATTTTGTGACGCAATATCATTCTGCAATTTGAATATAGTGATCTACAGCTGGTTGATTAGTCGATAAACAGAAATTTAACAGGCAATGATTCTGACATTGTTTAATCATTTAAGTCGTTTTTCAAGCAAAGATTGGTTGTCTTATGTCTTATGTCTTATGTGATAATAAACTGAATATCTTTGGATTTCTGGACTGATTGTCAAACAAAACAAGACATTTGAAGACACAACATTGAGCTTTGGGAAACTGTGATGGGTATTTTAGACATTTTATGAACCAAAAGAATGATCAATTAATAGGAAATGATCTTCAGTTGCAGCCCTGAGCTCTTTGGGCGGATACAGGGTAGGGTTTTGCAGAATCATACTACAAGCCCACCACTTCCGAATCGAATGCCTGAACCTGCCCTTGATCATTTGGGTGCCATTACATTTCATTTAATAGCCAATTTTGTTCCAGTAATACCTTCATAATTTCGTGATTATATTGTTGTCGGGTGGCCCTGCAGTAAAGGGCCTGCATGCGCCTAACGCGGATGCCAAGCCCACACTGCTCTGGAGCTATAGATCCGAGGAGGGCAATAAATGCTGTACTGCACAGGGTCATATTTTGTGGGTTGGTCTTAACAGGCAGTTTGCTCATAGCCTTTTCAACAGTGCCTTTCAAATTTTTTTTTTCACTTTGTGCCTTTTCGCCCAAAGTAACTCTATTTTTCAAGCACCATTCTCGGTTTAAATTTTTTATAATGGTGGCGTTTTTAAGACAAGATGAAGGCAGGGAGGAAGAGTGTGGTTGAGAGAAATAAGGCAAGAAACGTACCAAACAGAGGTGTGGTGGTTTGTGCTAATGCAGAATTGAAGCTCCCAAGAGATGCAGAGTGTGTGGGAGAAAAATAGAAAAATAGAGTAAGACGGAGAGGTTGGGACTGAGAGGGAGGATACATCAGCAACAGATGAATCGGGGGCTTGGGGATGCAGAAGGTGCTGGGGAAGAGGGATGCTTGCGGGGGAGGAGGTACAGTAGATATTGATGATCTGTGCTCTTCGGCTGATGGATTGAAAGAGGAAGTGCAGTTTGCTGGCTGCGTGTCTGTGGTCGGGACAGGAGGAGCAGCTCTCTGAGAGCGAGGATGCAGAGCTGACTGGTTGAAACCAGCCTGCTTGAATAGGGTGGAAGCTTTAAAGTGGTGTCATCCCTGTCTGACGTTAGTTTGTTTCAGCTCGTATTCTTATATGGAGAAAAAAAAACACCCGGCCGAAAACTCAGACAACATTTCTGAACAGACGTATTTGGACTTTTCCTGCTGTGGAATGGCAAAGGATGTCATCCAGGATCATTTATCATTTTTATGAGTCTCATCCACAGGGAATGAGCTTATTACCACAGCCATTACAGAAGAAAAAGATATTTTCTCTCAGGGGTAATAAACTTGCAATATCATATTTTTTTCACAGCAGAGAATCTCATATTTTTTTGATTATGGATATAAAAGCAATATCTCAGAGGTTCTGAGTTAGAGAGCTACAGCTCAGTTTAAACTCACAGTGAGTGCTTATCTTCCAAGATAAAGAAATTAAATTTACTCTGATAGATGGTAAAAACCAAGCTTACAGTACTCACCTAAAAAAAAATAAAATAAACAAAGCAACAAATCAACAATTCAATTTATCAACTACTAAATCAGCAGACAGATAATCTGCACAGTCATTTAAAAAAAGAAGAAGAAAAAAACATAGTTCAGCACAGAAAAAGCTGTCACCCGAACTTGGCAACCACTAAACAAGAATCTCTGCTGATCTGCTCCGTAAGCACTTAACCCAAATTACATGCTCCACTGAATTGTTAACTGTTTGAGTCTTGAGCTGTCAAGTGGGGGTGTGTGTGGGAGAAAATGGCTGCTGGGGTCTTGACATATACACAGCACCTAATGAGCGTGTGACAACCCTCAAAAGCTCTCCTCTCCCCCTCTTGTCAGCAGAAATGGTGCGGTCCACTAATTACAAATTAAAGTGCCATCCACCTGAGGTGGCTGCTTCCATTAGGCTGTCCTGGGGGCAGTTCATGGCGGCTGCAAGTCCCTCTGGGAGTTGCCCCCTTGTCCTGGTTCTTAATCCTCCTGTCTGTGGTTTCTGTTTATATCAGAAAGGTGTTAGCATGCTAATCAGCCCCACCCAAATATCCAAGCGTTCCCTCTCTCCATCTTCCTCCACCCACTCTTTCGTCATCGACAGTTCTTTCATCTGAGAAATATCTCTTACTTTTCTGTTTCTCTACCAAACTCCACCATTATCTCCTTTCCTACTCAACCCCTCTCTCCTTTCTTCCATGCTCTCACCCTCTCCCGCTACCTCCTCAGGGAAGGGGTTAACAAGGGCATCAGAGAGTAGTGCGAGCTACATCTGAGAGTTGATCACATTACTGTGGCGTCTGCCAGTCTGCAGGGCAGAAAGTGAGACACAGAGAGGAGAAGAAGAAGAGAGAGTGAGCGGGGAATAAGAGTAAGGAAGAGGATTTGGATCAATCACACTGAACACTGTACCCCACCATGGAGAGGCTCTTTCACAGTAAATCTCATTTCTGGCTTTGCAGCTGTAAGCTTTCTGCAAATCATGAATCAATCAATGTGGCACATTTCAGCCCTGCAGGCCTTGTGTGCTCTGGGTGATGAATTATGCCATACTATGACAGTTGGCATGCAAATCTGCACCATGAGGCAGTGTACCTTGATAGAACCCATCAGCCATGTACAAAAGCAAAACATTTCACAGGCTGCAGCGTGTTGCAGATATTTTTGCCGTTCTCCCTGCAGGGACTTGAGGCTCACATTACAAAGTAGTAGCAGCCAAATACACAGGAATAAAAAAATCAAGGTGAGACAAGGTTGGTTGTTCTTTTCTTTTCCTTTTTTTTTCTGTCTGCCCTTTGGAGCATTTTGTCCCGCCCTATTGAGCAGGTTGCCAAATACAGCCAGTATGATTTTTGGTGCCAGCTTTGATTCAGTGTTATTAACTTTTTGGACCATAAATGGACCATGGGATGGACAGTCATATTGCTGTGTTATGCTGATAAGCTAAACCCTTGGCTAATAGCCTGTATACATAAGCCACAGACAAAGAAGATAAGAAACAGCCCAAAGATTGTCACAGCATCCAACCTAAACCCTCTTTGCTTTTCAAATTACCTGAAAAGCATAAAACTAATCTCTGATGTTTTTTAGCAGTTAGCCAGAGAATGGCTGAGAGGCAATAGGGCGTTGGTCTGGCTACGTTAATAAATAATAGGCCGAAATGAAAAGCATAGCTAATGATGTGCGGAGAATCCTGTAGGGACGGCAGCATCTTGGCTGGTGGGGAAATTAGGCCAAGTAAGGACACAACCATCCTGCTCCCCTCGTGGTGCAGTGAAAACAAAGGCCACAAAATCTCCACAAAACCTAAGGCAGTTCAGCTCCACCAGACATCCTTTGATGAGGCGGTTTTTTGGGGGGGAAAATGTGATGAATAAATATTCCTCTAAAAATCTTGATCAAGGACCTCCTGTGGAGGTGGAAGTAGGTTAATGATGTTTCATATTTTTGTATGTTAGTGGGTTAATGATGTCTCATCTTTGAACATGTACGTTAGCAGTTGCGCTGGTTTACACGCAGCTGTTTATGTGCAACAAACTTACACACAGTCGTGTTTCAATTTATTCCCTCAGCTTACAAAGAGAAGATGAAGGAGATTTCAGTTCTCTCTCTCATCTGCTCTTGTCTGTACCCTGAGACCCGAAAAAACATCATGGGTGACTTTGACGGTACGTGGCAATCAGACTTTTCATCTTCTTTATGAAACATGCTTGAATGAAAAATCATACTTAGGCTTTCTTTATTTGTTTCTCATTGATGTGCACGCACACATGCAGACATGGACATAAAGCCCATTAACAAGCGCGCCTCAGGCCAGGCCTTTGAGGTCATCCTGAAGCCGTCCTCCCCCGTGTCTGATGCTGCCCACTGCATCACCAACCCCCCGAAGAGGGACATTTCCCTGGAGGACATCCAGAAGAAACTGGAGGCAGCTGAGGACCGGAGGAGAGTAAGGATGTTTCCAATCATTTTCATTGTACCCAGCTGCCACATGTCACTTTGTTTCAGTGAGGGCCAAGAGCCACGAAATCTGTAATCAACCTTTCTGTGATACCAAAACACAACCATTATGACCTTCCACGGTTACACAATATTACTGGAATACTTGACTTCCCTTGACACCTAGTTTGATGTCTGGTTGTTTGGTCAATCGTGCGTCACATTGACTACTGCAACTGCCACGAAAAATCTAACCCGACACTGGCTAATTCCTGCATATCATTGATTCGAACGTCAATACAGTCAGTCCCCCAGCTGACAAATCCAGCAGCCCACCAACAAATCAATCACCTAATCAATAACAAAGATTTTATAACACCAGATGTCCAATACTGTAGGTCGAACATACAGTATATTATATAAATTGTAGTACATGCCGTGAGAGGATGAGGATGGTAAGGAGAGAAATTCTGTTACATCCATATATTTAATGTGTTGAACCACCTCTGACTCATGCTTCAATTTTAGGAAAAATCGATGAATAGTATTTTGGTAAATCACTGTCTCGCTATCGACACCTTTCTCCCTGACTCATTCTCTCTGCTGCCTGTCCCTCGTCCTCCTCCTCCTCTTCCTCCTCCAGTCCCAGGAGGCGCAGGTACTTCGGGCCCTGGCTGAGAAACGGGAGCACGAGCGTGACGTGCTGCTGAAGGCCATGGAGGAGAACAGCAACTTCAGCCGCATGGCTGAGGAGAAGCTCCAGCTGAAGATGGAGCAGATCGAGGAGAACCGGATGGCCTACCTGGCTGCCATAATGGAGCGCCTGCAGGAGAAGGTGAGGAGCCAGACTTTAGATTTACTGAAGATATAAATCCAAATCCCATTTCCCCATACGATTTTGACCCAACACGAAAGACACAAAATATATTTACATTTTTATTCAATTAGTTAACTGTTAAATTATGTTTGTTAGGTTAATTTAGTACAGTCTAAATTCTATTTTAAAGCCATTTAACTCACAACAAATTAAAATTCTGGTGGTGCAATAAAAAAAACCTCTTTACATGTCATTAGTTGTTTGTCTTATACAACAAACCGGAGACTATGAAATATCCAGTAGGTGATTTAACTTTTAATTATAGAATGTAAACTCCCTCAAGGTTACTAAACCCACCAAGGTCCTGAAAAATATGCTGTGTCACATCAGTGTGATATCAGTGTCCTCAATGGTGCTATAGCCCTGGACTGAGTGGCACCACCTACTTGTAAATCCAGTACTAGCGTCTAAATTCTTACAAGTTTTAAACTAGCAATTTTATAAATCAGGTGTTTTTAACATCGCAAACTGTAACATAACCTCCTAATAACCAATTTAGAGAGCCAAACAATACAACTTAACTGACAATCCTTTGTTAATGTGTGACTTTTGTATTCGACCAAATCAGTTAGTGGTATTCATGCCATTTAGAATGAGAGGGAAATATCCAATTACTAAATACTAAAATAACTGACATTTTTTAATCAGTCATTTCGTCTGATGTTTTGTAATCTGAGGGAGATATTGTTTGTGAAATTGAATTAAAATCTTTCCACTTCACATCATTATTAACCAGTATTTTGATCAAACGTTTGGTCGGATATGTCGACTTTATTTCACTACCTCTTGAATGCGTCACTCTGAAGAGTCATATGTTAGCTTTGTTGGTTCAGTTAGCTACTCACGCAACAGTTACAGTGGATTTAATAGCAATAGTATATGTGGTAAAACACTTTTTTTATTTTGTAATGTGTAGTTTTAACGAGGTTAAATTTGACCTTAGGGAGTGATATGGATAAACCATCTGATGAAGATGGGGGACAGGTGGGAGGAGAGTAAGGGACATTTTGAAAAAGTGACACAGGAATGATAGAAAAAAAAATGATGAAATGAAGATGAGAAAGACGAGGGTAAGGAGGGCTGATACATCTGCTAGCAATTAGTTGTTTGGTGCAGTCCAGTGCCTGGAGGGTGGGAGAGAGGAAGAGGAAGAAGAAGAGAGAGGAGCTTCGGGGTGGACAGGAGGACAGGCAGAAAAAGAAAATGAAGGAACTCGTCACTGCAAAGGTCAAAGAAGAGAAATGGTGCAGTGAGCAAGAAAAAAACGTCAGGAGAGGGCCGGCAGCAGGAAAAAAAAAAACATGACATCCTCAATGTGTGTCTTTGTGTTTTTGCCAGGAGAGGCATGCTCAGGAGGTGCGCAGGAACAAGGAGTTGAAAGAAGAGTTGACAGCGTGAGAAACCCCAACTGGTTCTACGTCCCACCTCAAACCCCACCCCCCCATCACCACCCCTGACCCTGAGGAACACCCCTCCCCCCTCCCACCACCTTATCCCACATTTCCCCACCTACGCCATACTCCCCCCATACTACTATGAAACTACCACAGCCTGAGACACCACCCCGAGACAGTGGGAGGTTCAAACGGGGTTGGGGGTGGAAAACAAAAAAGCGAAAATGATTTACAAAAAAAAAAAAGAAAGAAAATTAATGTCTCCCGCCCACTCTTCCCAAAAAAAGAATGTTTTTGCTCTTGTTTCAAATGAGAAGAAAAATCAAATTGACAAGTGACAGTGGGTATTGGTTTTTTGTAAATACTTCTTTTTTTGTTATATACAGTACGATACAAGCAGCAAAAGTATTGATTGCAGTGTGCCATTTTTATATATAAGTTTCCTCTCCCTGCATATATATGGATGTAATAATTTGTTCATTTTCATGTTTTTTTATGTTTGTTCATTTCAGCCTGAGAATCTTTTTTTTCTCTTGTGTGGTAACAGGCTTAGGTGTTTGTTGTGAGTTTGCCAGCTAGCTGATGTTTGCTGTGACTGCTTGCGTCCTCACAAGCGTTGCATCCTGGCTCCCTTCCCTCGTCCCTTCTAGTGGGCACTTACTCATTTGACCCCCCAGATCTGGAAGCAAAAATTGGATTTGTGTTTGGTGATTTTCCATCCACTTTATGCCAATGTTCCAATTAGCGAGGGACGTGTGCAGGAAAGTTGGCAGAAGGAAAGGGGACAGTTTGCGTTTTTGTGGGGACCGCAAGCCGTCGCTGCACATCCACTCCTGTGAGGTAGATGGTGACTGTACCACAGGAGAACACTATAGCATTTAATGAGCCCATCCTCATCCTCCTTCCCTCCGTCTGCAGCCTCTTCATCTCTCCACGTATATACATACTGTAGAAGCACTCACTCACACGCTCTCCACATGGGCAGGCATTTAGCCAATCACAGCACAGAGCTCAGGAGGAGCTCGCTAAACTCTGTCCATCTGGCACCGGAAAGCTCAAATAACATCCCTGACCAATGGCGGGCCTCTTATATTCCTCAAAAACAAACTTCCAATCACGTTCCAATCACATATTACTGTAATATATAACACAACTGAGGTTAAAGTGCATCCTAAGAAAGTGCAAAATACTTCACCTGAGATCAGACTTGTTACTGTGAATCTTACACTGGAGAAAATACAAATAAGTTCCACCTTCCTCCATTTCATAGAGGCTAGAGTAGTGCTCAAGATCATCAGCACCTACTGGAATCATTGCACTTCACTCCAAGACACTGTCAATGCCACTGAAAGGCTGGCACAAGAAAGATATTTAAGCCATAACAGGTATCACTGCAACAACGATTCATGAACACAGTATTTCCATCTGTAAAGGTGTATATGAGTGTATTAAAGTATCAGAGTAACCAGGGGTGTTGAAGCCTGAGGTTGAACCCTGTCGGTCACACACGCACGGTTGGCCCATAGGTGTGTGTGTGAGTGTGTGTGTGTATTTCAGAAAGGGCGGGTCGATAACCGAACGTTTGTGCCATGTGAAGTATAAACCAACACCGTCACAGTGTGTAACAACTGTTCACCACAGACAGTGACTATCCTGCCTGCCTCTCTCTCTCTCTCCTCTGTCCATTTGTGTGTTTCCCCCCTCTCCACATATATCTTTGTGAGCAAGCAGTGGTTAATAAAGATTTGGGGTTCAGTGAATGAAACTTGTCTGGAGAGTGACTTCTTTCACATACTGTTCATGTAGTGCCACTTGATTTACTTGACAAACTTGACAAATATATACAGTACCTTTAACAATATATCAGATTATATTGAGGCACAAGTGACCATATTATAGGGATGAAACTAATGATTGTTTCATTATAGATTAATGTCTCTTTTTAATGATTAATCATTTATTCATTTGGTCTGTAAAAGAAACATCAGAAAACAATGAAACATGCCCATTATAATCCCCCAGGGCCCAAGTTTAAATCTTTAAATTAACAAATTTTAAAAAATGATTCAATTAAAGAGGACCTATAGTGCTTTTCTGAGTTTTTCCTTACCTATAGTTTTTACATAGGTTTTTGTGCATGTAAATGGTCTACAGAGTCACAAGGATCAAAGTTTACACCAAAGGGAGTAACTCTGACAGGGTAAAAACCCAATTTTCTCTTTTGTATGAAACGCCTCGTTGGGGGTCAAAACATTCCTTCCTGGTCCTATTGAAGTCAATACATCTCTTGGTGCTGCCCACCTGCAAACTTGGCATGCCCCCACATAAGGCACAGCCATTACTTATAATAAAGACTTTTCTTTAGTTTTGTAGCCATGCCGCAGAAGCGATGTTCTCAATTACCGCGACCTGATCACCCTAGTAAGAAGCAGTATAGCAATGATATAAATGCTTAAACATTTGTCAGTATTGACATGCTGTACCTTGTTAGCTCAGATAAATTATCCATAATTTAACCGTTCATTTTTCAGTAACTATATGCACTAAAGTTTAATTCATTCAGATTCACCAGCATCATAAACCAGCCGGCGGTGAAGCGGTGGAGACTCCCTACCTGTGGCCTGTCTGTCTGATCCTCCATTATTTATATTGCCTTAGTCCGGAAGTGTCCACACATAAAAAAAAATCAAACAGATCTTGCATAAAAGTATTCCAAGTTATGAATATTGTCCCAAAGTCTTTGCAGGCAGCATCTTCATTCACAGCGCTGGTCATATTTCTTCCTCCTTCCGGCTGCGGGACGGTGGGTACGCTTGTTTTCTGCTCCAGTCCAGCTTGTGAAGGTGGATCAGGTATATCATCTTCCGGTTCAAAACCGGACCCTCGCCCAAAACTATAAGGCACAACCGAAACCACCACAACCGTTTGTTTACACAAGACATGCGGAACTTATCGTTGCCATGGTAGTTGCCCCTTCAGGGGGAGGAGGGGTGCCTTAAAGAGCCCTGAGCCCAAACAGAGCATTTTAAACAGAGTGGATAGAGTACAGTATAAAATGTACAGAAAAAAAAGAAAAATAATGTCTTTTCAGAACACTGAAGCATGTAGCCTAAATCTATTTTAGTTGACACCAAGTATGAAATGATAAACACTAAAAATGGCCATAATAGGTCCCCTTAAACCTTTTTCATGGCAGACATTTTTACGAGTCATGGCACAATTTATTTAGCTCTTTTCAGGACACTTGCCATTGTTGACGATGGCTGACTGTTTTGGCTGAGAGAGCCGCTGTTATCGTATCAATTACATCTGTGCTTTCCCCTGCTATGACAAGTCAAAATATCTGTTGTGAAACAGACCCATTCACAGTGATTGGAAAATTAGAAAAACAGTCTTTAACCAGTGAATCCTTGTGATAAATGACTTACAAAATTAATAAAATATCACAATTACTCTTGATTAATTTTCACTCAGTTGAGTGATCTATCAATAATCAACTTATTATTTCACAAATCATTTCGACTGCAAATAGTATGCAGCCATTTAATCACATTTACAGGGTGGCATCTTTTTGATTAGAACATGCTGACAGAAGAAGAATAAAGAGTTTTTATTCTTCTACTTCACCACATTTCAGTACTTTTTAATCCACTACATTTATGTAATAGTTACTAGTTATTAATTTTCTATACAAAACATACAGTATGACCAGTTTATAAAAGATTAAAAACGCAACAGTGAATAAAATTAGCTCCACCTTTATAAATTACAACATTAGAATGCTGCTTACAAGTTAATAAATCAATAACAATAATAATAATCCAGTGAAAATATACATATACTGTATATGTGCCATTGTGCATTATTCATACATTTAAGTAAATTTAATATTGAGTGTTGTTACATTGAGTTACTGCTACTTTTACTTAACATACTTCTATGGACCTTCAGTTTTCCTGTTCCACAATCTCCAAAGTTGAAGTACCACTTATGACCAGTTGAGGGAGACAAAAGACAAGTTGTCTTCACTGAAAATGTGATTGACCTTGGGGTTTTGGCTGCAGTGAAGCTTACATCACTACCTGGCCCTGTATCATCCTCAGTAATAGAGGAAAGGTCCAGGGGAATGGCGAAAGAGATCAAAGGGGAAAGACAGAGACAAACAGATGAAAGAGGGAGGGACATTTTGGCGAGTGAGTGAAATTTTGGTCCAGCAGACGAAGAGACGGCGTGTAGGAGCTGAGAACAGAAGGTGCAGCTGGTGCAAGCTGAAACGATGGCAAAGAGACAAAACTGTTCTCTGCACACTTCCTTTCTCACAGTTTCTGAGTCCCTCTCTCCTGCTCTCTCCTTTGGCCTCCCTCTTCTTTTTCTCTCTTCCCTCCATCTCCTACTCTATGCTCAATCACTCCTTCCTTTCCTTCTTCATCCTCTTCCAACCTTCCCTCCCTCCCTCTTTCCTCCTCCTCTAGTTCCCACGGAGCGCATGGGGCCAGCCGGGCTGCTATTGTCCAGGATATCCCCTCCTTGTTAATGGTTTCCTGTGCACACACAGAGGGCTGCTGAGAGAAACAAGCAGCCTCATCTGATACCAGGCGTCGCCACGTACCGCAAGCGTACACACACACATACACACACACACACATACACACAGAGTAGTGGGCTCGTTGTTTCCACGTAAATAAACCTATCACCACTTTATGAAAACGCTCTAATTGTGTGCGTTTATTTGCCTCTTTATATGAAGAAAAANACACACACACACACATACACAAACATACACACATGAAAACAACTGCAGGCACATATGGTACATGGACACAGAAATACACTCATACCCATGCGCACTTTTTGAACAAACAGACATGCAGATGCACACATAAAAACACACTGATAAAGCCACAGGTGATGTATCAGAAGTCTTTTATTACAGGGAAGTTGTCATTACCACCAGCAACAACTTTGAGAAGCTGAAAATCTGACTTGTCAGTGCTCGCTTGTGTTTTGTACAACCATAAAATATACAAACTCACAGTGAGGTTTATCAGGAGAGCCACAAATATCAGGGGGAAACGATGAGTTGGCATTTCTAAATGTCTCTAAAGACAATAATGATTAAAAAAAACTGAACTGTGTGTCCTTGTTTTACTGCAACTGCTTTAATGGATAAAGCATGACTCCCTCTTGGTAAATACTGATTGACAATGCTGCTCTGCTGAGCAAACACAAGAGACAAGGTCATAAAAACACCATTTACATGAGAAAAAACTAGAAAAGCTGGTAAAAACTGGTAAAACATATGTGAAGCTTGGATTGTTAAAGACAGAATTTACTGTAGAGAGGAAGCATAACTTGAGGAAGTAAGCTTAAACAATAGAGCACCATATGAACATCAAGAGGTTGTGGGTAAATCACGGTTAAGTTTATTTCAACCAAGCTGGTAGCTAACTTCTGTTCCCAGTATTTAGTCAAACAAACACCTGGTTTCGGTTATTCCACCCCATAAAATGCTGTAAAAAGGGGGTGACTCTCCACCACTTCGAGCCCTCCTTTCACACCACCCTCTCTGTGTAACCAGGGCATCAACACTGGGTGTTTCAGCTCAGGGGGAAAACAAAGGGGGGACAGTTTCGCCCAGGAACTTGACGGACGGCAACTGCTTGACCATCTGGAAAAGCCATTCCTGATAGGCTGACAACAGTGGGTGAAAACTTCTAAAGGGGTGGGCAGGAACACAGACCAATCAACACAATAAATCACTCTTGCTGCTTTTTAGTCGTGGTCTCCCTCCTCACTGTTTTCTCTTCTATACAAAACACAATACGTTAGCAAGAAAATAAAAATCCTATAGCTAGGTATATCCTCTGTGGGATGTCAACATCATAGAAAAAATAGTACTTTCTTAGCAGGGAAAATAAAAAGTCTTGTCCTTGAAAGTCCAGCTCAGCTGGGTAGTGAGGTGAGTCTATATGTAGATTGTGTTGAGGTGCTCACTTCAGTCAGAAAGCTCCTATCTCCATACCCCAGGGTCTGTAGGGTTTCCCCACACTGGATGTTGGGGCTGGGGGGCTGATGGTGGTGGTGGGGGAGATGATGGGGAAGGCACTGAAGGGGAAGGGGAACGCCGAGAGGGAGGAGAGGAGAGGAGGGGAGAGCTTGGACGCTGACGAGGGAACCAAGGCGGGGTGCAGGACGGTGGTAGGAGTGGCAGTCGTTGGGGGGACCCGGATCGGGCCTTGGTCTGAGTGGGGGGTGGCGCTGGTGCTGCGCCTGCCTGGGACGTGAGTCTCTGCAGCCGACGAAGATGCTGACGAGGAGGAGGAGGAGGACGTGGATGAAGTGGATGCAGACGACAGAGGAGTCTGTGGGCTGCTAGTGGCGCTGCGGGGTAAAGGTGCCAAAGGTGCCCCCTGTTGGTGCTGGAGGAGGAGGGGGTGGGTGAGGTGTGCAGGGGGAGATCCAAATGCAGAACCCCACGCCAGGTGACTCAGGCCAGAGTGAGCCTCCCGCTGACTGGCGTAGTTGTTCAGGTGGGAGACCAGACGGATCCGCAGAGGGTCTGTGCTGTCCAAGCCTTCGATTATACTCAGATAGCGGGCCGTCTCAGCCAGACACTCCCTGAAGCCCAAACCACGGTAGTCCATTGCCAGGGCATGGGCGTCAAAGTAACCTGAGGGCAGAGCAAGAAGACAGCTGGTTAGTTCATATGTCAGCTGATCTGCAAAAACAAGTTTGTCCGGAGCTGTAGGAGCTTTGTCTGACATGAATCAATGCTCTCTTGGCTTTAGAAGTGTGAGAGAGTAAATAACCAGTCAAAATAAAACAGGTTTTATTTGCCAGGTCTGTTGGAAAAATTTAAATATTCAATCTTAACATTTTCCTTATTTCTCCTTTATAAACGTATTTCTTAATTTTTCAAGGAAACTAAACATTGTATTTGATGTCCAGTTTTTGCCCTCAGTGTGATAATGCAACAAGTGAAAGTTGTTTTTCTGTAACTGTCAATGAATCCCAGACATTTACCTTTGCCTCCAGCAGCATGAAGCATCTTCAGATGATCAACAGTCATCTGCAAAATCTCTGCTTTCTCCAGTTTGGCTGAGCCCTTCAATGTGGGGGAGACAAATAGGAGCAGTTTATATATAAATAAACCGAAAGAGCATAAATGAACAAAGTGGTTTCGTGTCGTTTTGGAACTGTGTAGGCTATAAGTGATGTTGGAGCTGTGTTGCCTGTTTCTTACCTGTTTCTCGTAGGCGCTGGGGACCAGCCTGCGGAGCTCGCTCAGACTGTTGTTGATCCTGTCCCGGCGCCGTTTCTCAATGATCTGAAGAGACAGAACACACGTCATTTAGTTATTCGCAGAAATGTGACAAAATCTGGAGACATCATTCACAAGATTTCCAACTGCACAGATGTATTTTTATATAAGATTCACTTACTCCTCGACGTCTTTTCCTCGCCTGCACCTGAGTGGATGTAGTGGGAGACATGGATCCGAGAGGAGAGCTCATATTCCTTAATGGAGATGAAACAGTGAGGGGTCAGTCTACTCATTGACTTATTTTTTTTTTTTTTTTACATTTACAATATAAGTAAAATAGTCTAGAATATTTTTCACAACCTTCGTTCTTCCACTTCACGCGATCCACCTAACCTGTTAATCACATAAAAAGAGCAATTCAACTTTATACTTACCCATTTCTCATCTGCCTCTCCCTTCTCCACTTCAATAGTCTCATTTCCAGCTCGCTTCCGAGAGCTAAATCGTGATTCCCTATTTCATTTTTGAATCCGTCCACAATCAGTCCTTCTATGTCTGCTTTCACCTGTTGCCCATAACCGTGCGTCTGTCCAGGTTTGCCCAGAGCGCCTGCCGTTTGAAACGCGCAGCTTATCCCACTTCATTTCAACGCCTGCTCCCGCCAACAGCGACTCGGACAATCCCACCCAATCACGAACCGGCCGTGGGTTAGTGACAGCACAAGTTCGCCCAAGCACATCCAAGTGCGCTTTGACCAATCTCGATAGAGAAAAACTAGAAGACATCTCACTCTGTGTATTTCTGGAGCGTTGGAATGATAATTTAAAATCTAGCTACATGTCATTGACGTTTTGGCCTCGTGTATCTCATCATGAAAACATTCATTTTATTGAGAACCTAAACACAACTACACCAGCCTACAACAATATTGCTTTTGTTCTGTGATAATTTAAAAACAAAAAAAATCTTGACACATTCACTGGGTCCACATCTGCAGCTGTCCTGAGATTTTCATATTTCATACTTCACTTCGTTCGAGCATTTCAGACTTCTTGTCTTTGTCTTGGTAACAAAAAATTGAGATTTAAAATATGATTGATGCCCTAGAAGCAGCAAGCTTGAGAGGGCTCCACCTGCTACGAAGATCATGCAGCCTACTACGAATAAAAAAAAAAAAAACTGCACTACTTGCGTGGACCACTATTATACCGTTTACAAACTAGCATAGTTACCCGTTTCCGGAGTCATGAACTCCACTTCTCGAACTCTTTTAAATGTCTTAGAATCCTTATTGACTCTGTGTATGTTTTGAGTGACTGCATCTTCCAAACCATAGAGGATCTTCGGAAAGAAACTTTGACCAGCGTCCAATGGACTTTCCGGTCCCTGACTGCCCCCACACCACCCTTCCTCCCCTCCCTCCCTCCCCCGCCCCCGCCCCCTCCTCCCCCGTGTGTGTCCCGGTGGTGATGAGGAGTGGCTGGCCGGCTGTCAGCACGCGCTGGCCGTGGGAAAGTTCCCTAACCGGCGCTGATAACCAATCAGAGGCCGACGGCCGTCTCCGGCGCTGGAATGAATGGAGCAATTGGTCGGGGCGACGGGCGGTCTGCGAGCGAGCGTGTGAACCTGTAATCCAATACTAACTCAGCCCGAGAGGAGAGACAGGGAGCACTGCCGCAACCAGAGGAAGCCACCGAGTCTAATCTTACCCCACAGAGAGACCTCATGCACGGTAAAGACGCTGTGGGGACTTCAAGGACTTTGTGAGCGCGCTCAACAAAAGACCATAATGCAATCAAAGCCGTCCTCTTCCCTTCTCCCCGGAGTTTCCACATCATCACCACCACAAGACTGGTGGCTCCTATAATGGTCACACTCCCCAAATAATTTGACAGAGCTGCTGGTGTATGTTTGTATACACGGAGAGCTCATGTTACTGCATGTGGAGCAGGAGCTCTTCAGTGGAGGGTCTCCTGCAGGGGCTGAACGGTGGCATATTCAAACAGCACACTGCCATTTAATAGAATGAGATGAGCTGCTATATACAGTGCAATTTTGGGGTACTTGTAGATCAGTTCAGTATTTCCATTTTATGTTACTTTTACTTTCTGCTTCAATGCAGGCAAATATTGGAGTACTCTTTACTCCACTATATTCACAAGTAGATTTTGGGATCATGATTTCATAATAACATAAATGATCCATTTACAAAATATAGCCTAATATATTGGTAAACATTAATCCATTCAAAAGCACATATAGTTGAGTTTACCTCGACCAAGTACTGTTACTTTTTTTAAATTTTGAATGCAAGAATGTAATGGAGTATTTTGATAATATGGTATTGCTACTTTTACTTTAAGTAAATGTCTGTCTGTCTTCATGTGCAAATATCAATTTAACAAAGACGCTCAGACATGACATCTATGATCTATATGATATAAGAGGTCTATATTGACTAGAACTTCGCTGTTTATCCCACAATGTTTAAATATAATAACTTATCATACAATGGTAATATACAGAAATATACCTTGTCACTAAGAGTTTTATGTCTGTTTCTGCAGGGAAAGAACCTACAATCAAAAAGAAGTTTACATAATTAATACATAAAATTAAAACATTATTTAAATCAAATTTACTGTTACTTGTTGAGCAAGATGTTAGTAATATAAAATATATATTAAAAGCCAATTCAATTAACAAAAAAAGGTGGTTTCATTTCAAAGACATTGGCTTGTTAGCATTGTCCTCATTGTTTGCAAACCACTTGTTACTGGCAGCACGCTGACTTTTGTCCAACTTTACAAATCTGTCTGAAAGGAAAAACTATGTTTCATAATATCACTGAAGGTCACTTTAAAAAAAAAAGAAAAAAAGTCACAACTTAATGCATCCTGTGAAACATCCCCTCCAGCAACAAAACTGAAAATGAGACAAGGAAATATGCACTTTGTACATGTAATTGAGGAAACATAAAACCATGACTCATCAGACATGAGAAACATTATTGCAATATGAATTAAATACACCGTCATTCATTTCGTGAGGCCATTTTTTATCGTGCACTAACAAAGATTAAACAGAAAACACTAAATTAGGGATGTCAGTACTAAAATACACACACACACACACACACACACACACACACACACACACACACACACACACACACACACACGTAGTAATATGGCGATCCTTATCAGTGGGAGCCGAAAGCAACCAAAGGCATAATGGTCATCACAGAGAGAGGAGGCTGCCTCTTTTGGTTCATATGAATGAGAGGAAGCACTTAGGGCTGTTTTCATCCTATTGTTGTTGTACAAGGCTGTGCTTACAGCAGGACAGACACACAGATGCACTCGCCAATTCATCGAAAGGGTTCACTGGTGATCTGTGTGTGTGTGTGTGTGTGTGTGTGTGTGTGTGTGT